ATAATGGGGCACGTTGGTCAGGTAAGGCTCGGTAGCGTCTCAAGTTTATACATCGTGGTAGATTTACATTTATTCAGTGCAAAAAGTTTATGTATAAGTTTGCAAATAAATGGTTTATGCATTGTAATGTTTTATGCATGTGAAAACTCGATCAAAAACCTTAGATTCGATTAGATGGGGGTGGTACAGCAGCCGGCGACGGGACGATGGTGTAAGGCGATGTTAAGCCAGGGAGACGAGGGAGGCGGTGTGTTTTTGGATAGTTTTAGGGTTTTTATTTTTATTTTTATTTTTATTTATTTTTATTTTTATTTAGGTACCTCCTATTCAGGTTACAATTACAAGTTAAATTCTTAAATAATGAGGATCTATTTAATAGGTTTTAGAAAGTCTAAGAAGTTATGTAACAAGTTTTGGAATGTCTAAGTACTTATTTATTCCAAAAAACTATTCAAAGACTTAATTATTCTAAACACTAAAGTTCATTGGTTTTATTAGACTTTTCCCTAAAAAGTTATAAAAGTGTCTAGAAATTGTATTAATTTAAAAATAAAAATCATTCATTTTTAGAAACGTTTCCCTAAAGCTTCTAACTCGATTTTTAGAGACAATTTTCATAAAAAGCATCTCTAAAAGCTTTAGAGATTTTTCTGTAGCGAATAATTTGGTTCCAAATCCTTCTCTAAAAGTTGTCTTATATTCAGTTACACTTGTCATTTTTGTGATGTAGTTCCTTCTCCAAAAATCATCTTTAGATGCGCTTCCAAATCCTTCTCTAAAACTTCTCTCTCTAAAAATTTTGTTACTTGTAGTGTAAAGGCCTGCAAAATCGTCCGATGTGTTTTTAATCTAATTACAACGTTTCGAGAGATTTTTAAAGTTTTTTTTGTTGATTTCGAGGGGGTTTTTTAGTGTTTTTGTCGATTTTGAATAACTTTTTTTGTTTTTTTGATTGATTTCAATATATTTTTTTGGTTCAAGTAACGGTTTCGATTGGGGTTGGGGCCCGTGGAAAAAAAGTAATGGGGGGAAGTGAAAAGTAAATCATGTAAAACCTAATTTTTTTTTTTGAGTTTTTGACTGGGGTCCCTTCCCTCCTCCTTTTTGCTACTACATCCGCCCCTGGTTTTCACCATGTACACACAAGGATGCAATTCAGTGACCAAATTGGCTCTGGACCATGGAATTTCTGTGGAGGTCAACCAGAAAGTTTATAGCGAAGTTTTTGTTATTTTCCGTAATCAATTATGTTTATGTAACCCTCAACATGGTGATAGGTTTTATGACATTGTCGATTGAATCTGATTATGCTCACGAGAGGCAATGTTGCATAAACAAAATATGCCTTTTTATTGTGTTGTGGATGCCAATTTAAAGAGAGATAAAGTGGTCGATATTTTAAGATCACTGGCGGTTGTAATCGTTATACAAAAGCTATTTTAATGAAGATGTGATTAGACATACCTTGACTTGTTTTTGTTTACAAACTTACTGTTAGTTACTCAAATATGTATCGGTAGAATCCTATGAAGGATGACAAATGATAGTGAGGAGTTACAAAAACACTGTAAAAAAAGATTAACCAGATAAATTCAACCATCCAAAACACACCACGATTGTGGTCATTTGGTGATATTACGATATGGAGAGAATCAATAACTAATAAATGTTGGTCCTTTTAGTTAGTTGTTGGCAACTTCATTAATTAGTTTCGTGATGCTTAAAATTTGTCATATATGAGAAAATAAAATGTCACTCTAACCATTATCTTAACCGTGGTATCACTCCAGTCATATCAAAGGACAAACTATAATAAGTAACAAGTACATAAAAGCAAAAGATTTTCAGTTTTGTAGTCTTATGAATTGTATTTTGATTATGTATCCGTTTCATCATGCAATTATTTTATGACGAACCAAATACATTATGCACCCGTTTCCATTACTCTTGGTTCAATTACGCCATGAACCAGTTTTACCTTCATGAAACCTATTTCATAAAAAAATATCATATTCGTAAAGCAGAAACATAGATGCACTCCTATGAACGTGGAAAATATACCGTATTAGTCAATTCGACTTGAAATTGTTAAGTYCTTCATAACTGTTTAGTTAAAGTAAGAATTGCTTTTGGTCGTTAATTTTCTTATTTCACCGGTGATTTGATTAATTCATTCCTTTAAGCCTTATAATCTTCAAGATTCTGGAGCAGATTACAATCTTCAAAATTCTGTAACAGATTCATCATGTACCCGTTTCATCATGCAATTATTTCATGACAAACCAAATACATTATGCACTCGTTTCATTTTCCACTTCACCTACTAAATGGATCAACTACACCATCAGTGAAACGGGTTCACCATGAAAATGTTTCACTACTCATTGTTCAATTATGACATGAACCAGTTTCACTTGTATTAATTTTTTTTCCAATCATGATTTGATGAATTCATTACATTATGCCTTATAATCTTCGAGATTCACCAGCAGATTTAATCGCATCACAATATATTTAGTTCAATTTTTTAAAATTATAATATAATTAAATATTTAAATGTTACCATTTATATAATTTCTTTTATTACGTTTCCTTAATTAAGATTTATTAATAATTTATATATTTAATTGAAAATATTATAAATGACCGAAATACCCTTATTGATTAAATTTAATTAGAAAAAAATGAAATTTTCCTATTGGTCGAAATTAGTTTACACAGTTTCTTAGAAATGCACGGTTTTCATTTGAACGTGCCCCTATATATATATATATATATACACACACACACACATAGAGAGAGAGATGATGTTTACTTTGCAAATCACGTTATTTGTACAAACCATACAAATCTCATTCAACCAATCATAATTTTTGATTTTGTTCATTTTTTTGTAATTATGAGAGGTTTATTAATTATTTTTATTGTGGAGGGTGTTAATCATGGATATTATCATCTTTATTATATTAATTTTAGAGAAATACATGAAACAGTTTCATTAAAATTTCATAAGTATTATATGAAACAATTTCATAACCATATATGAAACAACTTCGTCAAAAAAAAAGTATTATATGTAATAATTTCATAAGATTAAACAATTTCACGAAAAAAAATTATAAGATTAAACAAGGAAATCGACGGATGAAGGTGGTTTGCACGGTTTGTACAAATAAAGATGGTTTGCACTTGATCGCTCCTATATATATATATATATAGAGAGAGAGAGAGAGAGAGAGAGAGAGAGAGAGGAGCGTTCAAATAAAAACCGACCCCATCTGTGTAAACCGTGTAAACCAATCTCATTCATCCATTTTTTTGATCAATGGCCAAAATTAGTTTACTTTATTTTAGAAAAGTAGATAAAAATATATATTAAAAATTTATTTTATTTCAACAGTAAGGGCATAAATGATAAACAAAATTTAGTATTTGGTAACATCCTACTCGATCTTTCATGAATCTTTTT